TTGTTTAAGGTTAAAACCAACTATTAAGAATACCACCCAGAGATCTGGCCTAAAGCTGGGTAGTTGAATGGCAGGGTGTGGGGAATAGTATCAGCAAGTGCCTAAGACAGAGGCCACCTACAATGTTTTGGAATTTCACCCCTGAACAAGTGCAGAATCCTGAAAAACTAGTAAAATATTTGGAAAAAGTATGCTGTCACCCTGGCAATTCCAGAGATTTTGGAATGTTACCAGAGGAGGAGGTAACATGCTGAAAAAGCCCCAGTGTATAATGAACTACCAGCAAATAAAAAGCAATATGCCCTGTTCATTGATAGGTCCTGTTGTACTGTAGGAAAACACCAAAGGTGGAAAGCTGCTGTGTGGAGTCCCATGTGACAAGTTGCAGAAATTGCTGAAGGACAAGGTGAATCATGTGAGATTGCAGAGGTAAAAGATACCCAGCTGGTTTTAGACATTACTGAACAAGAAAAATGGCCAGTGCTTTATACTGACTCATGGATGGTGGCAAATGCCTTGTGGGAGTGATTGCAGCAATGGAAGCAAAGCAACTGGCAAGGCAGAGGTAAACCCATCTTAAATGCTGAATTACAGCAATTTTGCTGCTTAGGTAGACAACCTTGTTGTAAAAGTCCATCATGTAGATGCTTATGTCCCAAGAACTGGGACACCGAAGAACACCAAAACAACCAGCAGGCTGCTAAGATTGAAGTGCCTCAAATGGATTTAGATTGGCAACATAAAGGTAAATTATTTATAGACCAATAGACCCATGACACCTCAGGCCACCAAGGAGGAGATCCAACATATAGACAGGCTTGTGATCGAGGGGTAGTCTTAACCATGGAGACGATTGCACAGGTTATCAATGAATGTGAAACATGTGCTGCAATTAAGCAAGCCAAGCAGTTAAAGCCTCTCTGATATGGAGGACGATGGCTGAAGTACGAACACAGGGATGCCTGGCAGATTGACTATATCACACTCCCACCAACCCTCCAAGACAAGTGCCATGTGCTTACCATGGTGGAGGCAACCACTGGATGGCTGGAAACATGTGGCACTGTGCCCCATGTCACTGCCTGGAACAGTGTCCTGGGCCTTGAGAAACAAATCTTGTGCCAACACGGCACTCCAAAGAGAACTGAGTCAGACAACAGAACTTGTTTTCAGAACAGCCTCACAGTCACTGGGCCAAAGAGCACAGGATTGAGTGGGTATATCACATCCCCTATCATGTACCAGCCTCTGGGAAAATTAAAAGGTATAGTGGACTGTTGAAGACTACACAGAGCAGTGGGTGGTGGGACATTCAAACATTGGGATACACACTTAGCAAAAGCCACCTGGTTAGTCAATACCAGGGGATTTTCCAACTGCCCAATCAAACATCAGACCTTTATGTACTATAGAAGAGGATAAAGTCCCTGTAGTGCACATAAAAAAGTGTGTTGGATAAAACAGTCTGGGCTATTCCTGATATAGGCAAAGGCAACCCCATCCATGGGACTGTTTTTGTTCAAGGACCTCAGCACACTTACTGGATAATGTGGGGGGATAGGGAAGTCCAGTGTGTACCTCGAGGGGATTAGATTCTGAGTGAGAATAGCCAATATTTGAATTGTATGTTAACTGCTGTACAATAATGTATGCCACTACTATGGTTGCTATCAGCCATATCATCAGTATTTCAATGAAAAACATCCAGATTAATGAAGAATGAATTTTGATGTAACTGGTCAAAGTGCAGTGATAAAAACAGAACTGGTCTCATTGTTCAACAATCCAACACCACACACCATCTTTTCTGCCCAGAAAGACTACTATGACAGATGGAGCCAAAAGTTATCAATTACATGAGCTCAAGTGATATGTTAAAAGGATGGATCATAGACTAAGAGAATATTTGTGTGTACATATCAAAAGACAAGAAAGGATGTAAAGTGTAGGAAATGGACATAATACAGATGCTGTAGAAGAAGTGGATATTATATTGGTTTCAGAAGGAACAGACAATTTTTTTTCATAGTAAAAGATATAGTGCTGTGGTTTAGATTTAGGATGAGAAGAATGTAAATAACACATTGATGTTTTAGTTGTTGCTAAAGAGTGTTTACACAAAGTAAAGGATTTTTCAGCTTCTCACATCTACAAACCAGGGAGTAGACCTGGGAACAAAAGAAGACAGAAGGAGACACAGACAGAAAATCTCAGACTGAAGGCATGAGCTATGAATGTCCATATAATTCCTTCGATAGCTCAGTTGGTAGAGCGGAGGACTGTAGGCTCCTTGCACGGCCATCCTTAGGTCGCTGGTTCAACTCCGGCTCGAAGGAGTGCCCTTTTGGCTCTGGAACACACCCTGTGGCACCTCTGCCTTTTGGCCCTGCCTGCCCTTCAAGGCCCGCACAGCCTTCAGCTCTTGCCCTTGCTGAGGAAGAGGAACCAAGCAAGGCAGTTCTGGTGAACCCTGGGCAGGGGACGGTGGCCCCTGTGCACCATCAGGGGTTGTCAGTGGTCACCACCAGCAGCAAAGGGATTTGGTGGCTGGGATGGTGGTAGCCAGGTGGATGGGAGACCCAGGCTTTGGTTGCTGGAGAGGCTGGGTCAGGGTTGTGTGCTTGGGAGGGGAGAGGACCTCAGGGCAAGGCCATGGGCTGGGGAATTAGCTCAAGTGGTAGAGCGCTCGCTTAGCATGTGAGAGGCAGCAGGATCAATGCCCGCATTCTCCAGAGCTTTTCATTCCTCTTGCCTGGACACAGGGCCCTTTCCCTGGTATCCAGTTTCTGTGGGAGCTCTTGGGATCTTACTGTGTTCCAAAAGGAGCAAAACATTTATGGATGTACCAGCACAGCAGTAACAGATGCATTGGTATAGGCACAGCTAAGAGATTATTCCTCTTTGTTTTCAGTCATTAAAGACTGTTCAGTGTTTTGTGGCATTCTCAAAGCTCTGTGTAATCTGTGACAGAGTTTTTGATATACTTTTTTTTGGTCTTTTGAATATACACTCTCAACGTGGATCTTTTAAAACTTCTGAAGAAAACATGTTATCTCTGCATGTTACTTCGTCAGCCTTGAAAGCAGATGTCAAAGTACAATTTAAGTTGTTATGCCAAAAATTTTTCTGAAGATTATTTTTGTAGAGTATTGAAGATAAAGAGATCTTTGAAATTCTGCTGATTAGAAAAGCCTGTTAGCTTTAGTCCTTGATAAATTAGGTTGTGCCAAACTTTAAATAAACGTACGGAGAGGTACCTCTGTCATGTTTATTAAAAAGTGAATTTTGCCCTTGGCTGTGGTAGTATGATTAATACTGACTTAATTATTAATTTCAGGAAACTCAGAATCAGGTGTTGCTGGTTTCATACCCTGTACTAAATAATACCAGTTCAGCAGCAGATTTTTGTATTAGCATAAATTAAAAGATAATTAGAGCAAATCTATGAGACTGACTCATCATTTTATCTTGCAAATATTTACAGCTACTCCATTAAAAGTGAATCCCTCTGACATTTCCACTTTAGTCAGAAGCAGTCTCTTTTTTTTTTTATAATTACGAATAAAGATGGATAAAGCATCACTGTCGTTTTTGCCATAGATCACTTTGTAAATCATCTGTATTCATTTTCACCATTAAATAAAGTTAATTCCATACTATATTCTTCCATGACATCTCTGTCCTCTGTGTATCAAAGAAGGCCTCCTTTCCAGAAAATTAAACGTAAAAGCAACAGGAAGACATGAGGCTTGATACAGAAGATGGATTCTGCAGCCAAATCATACTACAGGGACACAGAAGGTTCAAGTCATGAGTGAATTTGATACTGTAGGAAGTTTATCGCCCAGTGGTACAATTATGCAAGACAAGAGAACCATGAGATGTTAACAGTTTTCCTTCCATTGTATGAAGAGTTTGGTCATTCACTTCTTCATTTGCCTCCTCTCCCGCCTTTAAGAAGGGATGGCAGAAGAGGTGCAATTTGTTCAAAACCACACAGGACAGACTCCCAGCAAAATTCAAGCTTAACAATGATGCAAGTAGATGCATTTCACAAGCCTTTTTTTTAGTTCAAATATATTCTTACATTTGATGGGAAAAGCAAGCTGTGTTGAAGTTTGACTGGTAACACAGTTCAACTAACAACACCCAGAATGTAATAAAAATTTTACTACATTTATTAAACCTGGAAGTAAGCATCTGGCGTATTTCAATGGCAAAACCATCTATTTCATTCATGACATTTAAAGTTCTTTCAAAAGATTTAACAGATTTAAGAGCAAAATGACCCATAGAATCCTCTAGTCTTACTTCTAGGTCTTGCTACATTTCAACAGTAAGTACTTTTCACCAGTGTAGTAACTCGTGTTTGAGTAAAACTTAAAGTCTTCTCTTTCCATAGAGAACCTCCCATTTCCTGTGCCAGTATGTTTCAGTGGTTAGTTTTGCTCACTGTTAAAATCATATGTTTCTTTTTCAGCTCAAATTGCTTTTAGATTCCAATCACTGGTTTTGGTTATGCGTGCCTTAATAGTGATGAACTCTCCCACATCTGACATTTTTCCCCTTCAAAGACATTACACACTACAATCAAATAATCTGTCAGTCTACTTTTTATGGCAAGATAAACTGATCTAATTCCTTATGTCTCTTACCCTAGTTCTTCAATTATTACAGCATTTTTCTGCATTGGCTTTACTTCTCAACATACTCCAGGAGAAGATGTTAACACAAGAACTGGGTACAGTATTCAAAACCCACAGTTTGCAAGCATAGTCTGTGTTAGGGTTAAAACATTTTTGATGAAGCACACGGCTTGCTTGTGGGATGAAATCAATAGATTCCCATTGCATCATCTCTGATTCTATTCAGGCTCATGGGGAAGAAAAACATTTTAACAATGAATGTCTACAGTGCAGGCAACTCAAAAGGTTTCACCATCCTAATCATGCCAGACATATGAGCATTTTTAGACATGTTGCACAGCAGATTTCACATACCTGTAGGACTTCTTAATCTCATCATGTGTTGCTCCCTTCTCTAGGGCCAGGATTTCATATAGTGCTTCCCCTGATGTTGACAAAGCACGTTGCCTTTGTTCAGCCATGTCAGCAGTGCATTACCAACGCTGCAAATGTAGAGCAGAATTTTAAATACCAGGGACTGCAAACGTGTATGGATAGTATTTTTACTTTTTTTTATTCACATTTTTTACATAGTTACATTAAAATTTACATGTTAATAGATTTTAATCATGTAGTAGAATGTTAAAAATAAATGAAAATGAAATGAATAAAATCTCCTCTAAGTTATTCTCTGTCCCTTGAGATATTTTAGTTATTGGAGAAAATGTAAAAGCAAGAAACAAAGAACAGAAGCTTTTGTGTTAAGTATCATTGTTCATAGTAAAGGTTTGATGTTATTCTCACTGAAATCAATGGCTAAATTTCCTACAGCATTAATGCCTGAACATACCATTTTCATCTAGTTTTACTTGTGGTTGTTTACTTCCATCTTTTCTACATCTTAGAAGTATAATTCTACTATTTGTTAAAGCTATTGGACTTCAGTGGGGTAAGACCTTTGTACCTCTGAGTATAACCTAATACATCACAGTGGTGAATATTTGATTTCTCAACACAAGGACTCACATTCAGCCTAACCAATTTTAGGTGCCTAAGTTGAGTGGTTAAGTTTGAAGCTTAGTCAAACTAGACTCCTTATATTGCCAACAGATAGAAAGACATTCTCGGAGCACAACTGATCAAGCACTTTCTCCTTTTTATCTTTACAGCATGCTCAGGATGATTGAATTCCCAGGTCATGTGCCTGAGGACAGGTAGAATGAATCTGGATCCAGGCAACGAGACTAGATACCAAGAATTGACCTCAGTATTATTATTATTGCAGCAAACTGATGCAATAAACAGCAAATACTGTTCCCAAACAACTGGGAAATACTGACATCAACCAAGATCCTATCTTATTTGAGAGACAAGACTTTGGGCTGAATTCATGAGCTTGTGATAAATTTAACAAGATGCCCTTACAGTAGAGTGCAAATAAAGACTAAGCACAGATTTAGTCCACTTCAGATCCATCATTCATTCCTTCTTTCACCACAGAAGCAAAGCAGACAAGTGATTCTCTACTGAGTGGCTCTACTACCTCCTCACAGTTCATCCTTCTCGATGTGAAGAACGAAACGTTTTTAAACCAGACCTAACTAATGCTAGGCAATGACATGAAAAAACTTACATAAAGCATAATTTAAATCACCAGATATAGATATCTATCATTCATTAGAAAAAAGTTGCAGCTCTTTGATGGTAGACTTGTCACAACAAAACTCTCACCACCACCTCTTTGTTTCTTTGTATGTTGCACCCTTCTCTAAATGTTGAGAAGTGATCACAGATGTTAAAGCTGTAATCCCAGCCATGAGAAAAAAATTTCTGAGGAGCTGTTTTGTTAGGTAAGACTACTCACTCTGCTATTTCACCCTTCTCATTCCTGAGCTAGAAACACTATCTTGCCATTATTCATATATTATTTACTAGGCCACATTTTAGTTCAGAAGCAGCCAGCAGTTCAGAACACACTTCTTTAATTTTGTTCAATAGTAAAATGAAAACCAAATATCATGTAAGTATACACAGAAATATAATCCACAGAGTAATTCTGTCACATACTGCCTGATTTACTAAAAGGCCGAAATTTATTCCTATTTACTTTGATGTTTTTTTTTTTAATAAGGTAGTGCACAATTTAAGGTCTTGGGATCTGGTGAAAAAAAAACCCTAATAATCCTTTCTACTTTCAAGTGTTGCAGAAACCATCAACTAAATAGACTGAGCTTGTTCGTATAAAAAGCCCCAACAATTAAGAATGAAAACATATACGAGCATCTAAATATTACTTTACCACCTACAGTAGTTACAATGCTATTTATTAATAATGGTATGTCCAGACGATATTTAACATAACCCTGGAGTATGTCCTGATCACACTGGAATTATGCAAGGCACCTCAAGCCTTTTAATGCACAAGATAACACTGGGCAACCGTGTGAAGTCACAGATATAGAGTGTTATTTAAAAACTCTGTTACATAATGCTAATTAGCTACATGGCAACCCTGAAGCATAAAACAAAATTAAAGTTATGATAGATTTCATTCTGAAGAACTGAAAGTTGTGTAATTGTACTTTCTCATTAAATAATTTTAATAACCTAGTCAGCTATGGAAATTTAAACTCACTTGCCTATTCAGTCTTCTACCGATTAATCACGTCAAAGGTTTAGCTACTCAAAATAATTTCTTACTTATTTAAAGCAGTCCTACAAAATACTGAAAGTACAATGAGATTACACTTCTCTAGAAAAAAAGTTAAGCTCTCTTTATTGGAAAAAATACAGTTTTAGTTACGATTTTAGTACTAAATACACTCCTGATGGCTGAAATGACATTGGAATCCTATTTTTAAGCTGTGCATTTTTGTTCCAGTAGAACAGAGTAAAGAAGATGTTGTTTTCTTCCTTGAATGACAATAAAATATATTAAAAGACAATCCAAATTCTAGTAACAATTCCACATCTCCTGAGAGAATGGGACCCCAGTTAACTTCAGCTGTTTCTATGCAAATTTTATACTAGCCATGATCAATTATCTTACACCGGGGTTGTAATAATATGCCTTTCTTATACAATACCCATAATTCATTTGGATTTGTGCTGAAAAATAAGGCAAGGTGATTCAGATAACATACCTGCTTCAAAAAGTGATGGAACACTGACTGGCGTGTATAAACTCACAACATTTTCCATTCAATACCCTGACGTCTTTATGCCAATATAATCCGAAAAGAAAGAAGCAAGTTCCTCCAGAAACCCTGTTCCACAGAAAAGGGCTGCTGATTTTCATCCTTCATCCTAATCAAGGTGAAAAAGGTTAGTGGAGTCTGATTACTCCTTTTGTTTGTTTGTCTGGTATCCAATTGGCTATCTCTCAGGAAGATCTATGAAAGAATGAATAAAACATTCATGAGCCTAAAGGCTGATATATCCAAGAGTTAATGACACCAAAAAATATGGGACAACTGTGTATTTAGTTAGCTGCTCTTCTGTGCTTTACTCTTGATGGGGTCTTGAGTTTGTTGGTTTTTTCCCCCACGCAAATGTATTAAATTTGTTTAAAGATACAATGGTCTTGCTCTAAAGTATACTTCTTTGAGACCAGCTATGGCCTGCTTAGGTTTTACTATGTGGTCTCTTCCAGAACATGATTAACTGAAGAAGTCCCTTCAGGATTCCTCCTGAATTCTTGTAGATTTTAAAATCAAAATAGATGATGTAGGGTGCCTTCTTTTATTATGATGGAGCTTCTCCTCCAATTTATACCATGAAAAAATCTGGAGAGCTATTCCTTTCCATTTAGAATAGAGAAGACTGTAAATGCCAAAGCCAAGCGCTCTTGGTATGTCATCTTTGGAACCAAACAGTTCATCCTTTGAACTCAAAGAGTTCATTTCCCAGATCATCCAATTCCAAATGATATGTTTGTGTAGTAGGCTGACCTTGGATGGCTGCCAGACCCTTACCCAGACACTCTCTCACTCCCCCTCCTTAAGAGAACAGGAAGAGAAAATAAGATGAAAAGCTCATAGATGAAGATAAAGATCACTTACCAGTTACTGTCATGGGCAAAACAGACTCAGCTTGGGGAAAACTGATTTAATTTATTGCCAGTTAAAATAGATCTGGTGAGAACAAAGACAAAAACAACACCTTCCCCTCACCACCATGTTTCCAGGCTTGAGTTCACTCCTTCATTCCCAACTCGCCTACCCCTTACCCTTGAGCAGCAAATGGCAGACAGGGCATGGTAGGTTGTGATGAGGTCATAACTGCTCCTCTCTGCTGCTCCTTCCTCCTCACACTTTTCTCCTGCTCCAGCATGAGTCTTCCTCATAGGCTGCAGTCCTTCATGAACTGCTCCAGTGGGAGTCCTCCATAGGTCATGTTTTCTGTCAGAATTTGCTCCTGCATGGGCTCCTGTCCATGGATCACAGTTCCTTCAGGGAATATCCATCTTTTTGGCATGGGGTGGATGGGCTGCAACAAAATACCTGCTCCACAGTGGCCCTCACCACAGGCTGAATGGAAGTATCTGTTCCACCATGCTCCCCTTCACAAGCTGCAGAGGAATCTTTGCTCCAGTGCCTGGAGCACCTCCTCCTCTTCCTCCTCCTCTTTGACCTTAAGTGTTCATAGGGCTGTTCCTCACACTTTCCCTCACTTCTCACTGCCACACAGTGTTCTGCTCTTTCTTAAGTCTGTTTTCCCAGAGGTGGCACCAGCTTGGCTGATGGGCTTGTCTGCATCCTGTGGTAGGTCTGTCTTGGAGCTGGCTGTATCCAGTCCCTGACCCTTCAGTGTTCCAATACTGAAATCTTGTCATGGAGCCCCAGTGCCGTTTTGTGTGGACTGAAGTCCTGTAAATGAATTCATGGAACGCCATAATCCATTAAAGTCAGTGAGTTTGTGCTTGGATTCCACTGCAAGACATAAAATCAATAATATAAATCAATATGAATCATAAATAAATCAATACGAAAAAAATCCCTAACAACAAAACAACAAAACCAAACAGGTGTAATTAGTTACAATCACATAAAGACACTACAAATGGAAAAGGAAGCAACAGTGTGACAGCTGATGAAAAAAAAAAAAGTGAAGTGGATGCTTTTTTAATGTGAAGCATGTGATTTTAACATTTCTCTTGTTCTTAGATATTCTCTTCAATTTCAAATATTCCCTCAAATTTCAGCTTTGGATGAGGACAAGGCAAGGCACATTTCAACCTAAAATGGGAGCGTTTTTCATAGTTATGAAAAGTCAAAATATCGAAGTCAAAATATCTTTTCCAGGACATTCACAACAGAGCAGGTAAAGCTAATTCGATTGAGTTGCATGAGCACAATAAACCAGACTATTCAATCTACTTGCTTGATGCCAATCTCTGACATGATTTTATCATTCTTGCAAAATGCAATAAAAGTACACTTTTTAATGGGAGGAAGAAAATAAGGGGAAAAAATATAAAAGGAAGAAAATAGAATCGCTTTAGGTTACCCAAATCCTCTGTATGTATATACAGTTTATCATCAAGAAAACGACACTGTTCTGCAATCCTGTCACAGACCTAGACTCCCAGTTCCGTGTGAGCACAGCTCCCTCTGGTGTATGAAACTCTCACTGCTCTGTAATGTGTTGCTGCTTTTGTTTGAAGGAAGCAAACACAGTTTCTGTAAAACTGTTTATTTTCCTTTGGGGATTCTATGCCTGTCGTGGTTTAAGCCCAGCTGGTAACTCGGAACCACTCAGCCGCTCGCTCACTCTGATCCTTTTTTCCCGTCCCGGAGGGGTGGGGAGGAGAACTGGAAGAATGTAACTCCCATGGGCTGAGATAAAAACAGCCCAGTAACTAAGGTATAACACAAACCACTGCTGCTACCACCAATAATAATAAGAATGATAAGGAAAATAAAAAGGGGAGGGAATATGAAACTAAAAGGGGAAGAGGAAAATAAGGCAATAAACGTAAGTGGTGTACAATACAGTTGATCACCACTTGCCAACTGATACCCAGCCTGACCTGAGCAGTGTCACAGTATGCTAGAGATCTGGGCCCAGTAGGCCCAGTGATCTGGGCCTTCCAGGTAACTCCCCCCAGTCTCTATACCAGGCATGACATGCTGTGGTATGGAATACCCCTTTGGCTAGTTTGGGTCACGTGTCCTGTCTCTGCTCGCTCCCAGCTTTTTGTGCCCCTCCTCACTGGCAGAGCATGAGACTGAAAAGTCCTTGATCAAGGTAAGTGCTACTTAGCAACAACTAATACATCAGTGTGTTATCAGCATCGTTCTCAGACTAAAGCCAAAACACAGCACTGCACCAGCTACTAGGAAGGACTAAACTGTTACAGCTGAACCCAGGACAATGTCCTAAGCATGTTCTAATGAATCTTCAAAATACTCAAGCTTTAATTAGTTGTCATAACTCTTTCATCAATCAGATCAGCTATATGATTAGAAGAATAAAACATATAATTTAATACCTGATCACTCTTGTCATTTGGGGTGGGTTTTTTTGCATCATAACACCTAACAGTGCACCACACCACCACTGTGGCAGGAAATGCAAAACTAAAATAAAGCCCTAGTCCCAAAAGACCTTATGTGTAAAAAGCCTTACACTTTACATTTCATGTATATGTTGCATGCATTTCAAAACAGACAAATCAGAACATGACTGAAAATGCAAAATTGCATATCAGCCTATAAACATTTGAAACATGGCCCAGACAGAGCAGGAGGTCCAGGGTTGCTTCAGAAGCCTCCGGGTACACACAACCACAGCTAAAGGTTGAAGAACTCTGAGTCACTCTAGTCCTTTCTCCTACCACTCCCTCCTTTTCCTGGCTCACAGCAAGTTCAGGAACTAAGGGCCTGGAGCTGAAAGGCATACATGCATGAAAGGACTGGCATCATTGCTCAACAGAGGTGTGAATTTTTAGCTTCCAAGGCAAGGAAAGACAATTTTTAAAAGTTGAATTGTTTTCTTAGTTCATTGAGTCTGGAGGTGTTACTATTGAAATTATCAAAGCATGTGGGAGACACAAGTGGTCAGACAAAGCACTCCTGACCTTCATGGAGAACCCATAGCTTCTGACTTTCTTCCAATAGTGACTGGAAAATAAAATCTCTGGTTTTACTCAAGAGGATTTTGGGGCCTGAAATAAATGATCTTGCTTATCTAGGAAAGCCAGCTGGTTAAGTGAGGTGATCCTTTCCCTCTGCTCAGCGCTAGTGAGGCCACACCTGCAGTGCTGGGTTCAGACCAGGCCCCCCAGTACAAGAGAGACATGGGCATACTGGAGACACTCTAGTAAAGGACCGTAAGGATAATGAAAGGATGGAAGCATCTCCGCTATGAGGAAGGGCTGAGAGAGCTGGGACTGTCCAGACTGAAGAAGAGTAGGCTCAAGAGTGATCTCATCAAAGTATATAGATACCTGAAGAGAAGGTGTACAGAGGATGGAGTCAGGCTTTTTTTCAGTGGCTGCCCAGTGCCAGGACAAGAGGCAACGGGCACAAACACTGTATACTGTTCAGCCTGGAGAAGAGAAGTCTGTGTGGAGACCTCATAGCAGTCTTCCAGTATATGAAGGGGGACTATAAGGATGCTGGGGAGTGACTTCATTAGGGACTGTAGTGATAGGACAAAGGGTAACAGGTTAAAACTTAAACAGGGGAAGTTTAGACTGGATATAAGGAAGAAGTTCTTTAGCATGGCAGGGGGATTGGAACTAGATGATCTTAAGGTCCTTTCCAACCCTAACTATTCTGTGATTCTAAACTGAAACATGGGTGATTCTCTTTGAACATTGGGAAACACTTTTTCACTGTGAGGGTTAGCAAACACTGGCACAGGTTGCCCAGAAAGGCTGTGGCATCTCCATCCCTGGAGATACTCAAAAGCCACCTGGACATGGTCCCGGACAACTGGCTTTAGGTGGCCCTGCTTCCTTTCCCCAAAACTTCCATAGTGTGATAACTATTACCACTAATTTTTGTGCCTTGTTTTGCCAAAAAGGTGGCAAGAACATTAACAATGATGTTGGAATTTATTGGTAACTGACAAGAGAAGGAAGGCAGGTGATGAGACTAAAACGAGCTCTCGTTAATGACTTTTCACAGGTGAATGACTGGCTGTCCAGAAAAGACCCACACAAATAAAGCATGAGGTTATGAGTAAAGAATGGTAGGCTGATGAGATGACAGAATATGCACCCTGAGAAAGGGCATATACAGGGGTAGCATGTGCTGGTTTTCCACTTTTCAGGCAGGATTTATCTTTTGTTTTATTTTTTAGTATTGTGCTATGGTGATGTCAACATTATAAGACCCAGATAAGCAAATGACTCAAAGAGCAAAAGATTGAGCAACTGGAAAACGATGCTTCTGCAAGATGTGCTCGGCCTCTGGCTCAGGAATAGGCTCTGTTAAGCAGGGAAGAGTACTTCTGAGGCAGCTGTGTCCCAAAATGTTCTTCTTGTAATTTCTTTTTAGCCAGTTCTGCTTCACACACTCCTGGACATTTAGTGTCCTGTCTGAACGGTATTGCATGCTACCTGTCAATATTCAGTCTCTTAAAGAAGGGAGAATTGGTTTAAGATCCTTTCTTCAGAGTGAGACATTGTCAGACAAGCCTGACAATTCTACAGCAAGAAATTACATTCCTCTTGCCACATTTCTCTGTTACAGAATAGTTACTGTCATTATGGCCTCAAAAGTAATAAAAGAATTGATTTAAATAATACGATTGCATAGCATCCATTTTTAAATACATGTAACTATATTGGAAGGAAGGTATTCCATCTGGTAACCCATCTGTAACTCCATCTATACAAGTAAGTAACCATAAGAGAACATTCACATATTTGAATTCTCTGAACATATTGTGACCTTCTGTTACTATTCACATAGAATATCTCAATTTAAATACGTGGGGTTTTTAATATCTTTCAACAACTGCAATATTGGAAAAAAGTAGCAAATTCAAGACGTATGAACCTTAAATGAACAGTCGTCAATTGTATATCCAAATTGCTCATGCTGTTATGTGGTCAGTTTGACCCAGAGAAGCAACGCAAAACTGACTTCCTACTTAATCTCAGTAAATCCAGTTCAAAGGCTTGGTGGACGACCTAGGTGACATGATACAAGCATTCTTCCCCTAGCATTTAAATTAGAGACTTAAAAATGATGTTTTAAGTAATAGTAATACACTTAACTTTTTCAACAAGATACTCAATGAAACACTGGGAAGTCTATTTTCCTCTGTGACTTACGAGAAAGTTCTGTCTATCCTCCCTAATTTAAAATGGGTCATGGAGGTAACAATAACTAGGACGTAAATCACAATCTTCTCTCTGGCTTTAATTTAAATTTCTTTCTGAAAGTCAAAGGATACGAAGTCCCTAGTTTACATAGCTTTGGCAACTTAGAAGTAAGTTATCTAGGACTTCAAGTAAAAAAGTCCCCTGAATTCTTACTTAGGCAGCACTGTGGTAATCTATTTTGCAAACAGCTGTAGCACTTAAGGCAGAATTCTACCTGTTCTTATACTAAGTTAACAAACTCACACTGCTGGTTACAGAGTTATTCATTTTAGCACAGCCTAATCAACTACAGCTAAGAATTAGGAAGATTAGCTTGAATAGTATAAATAAGTGCTTTGACCTATTCCTCAGGTTATTTTACCAGGAACAGATTAGGAAACAGCAGTACCACATCTTGGTACCTGCTCCTTGGGAATCAACAGCTGCTTCCAGTCTTCCCCAGCAGGTTCCCAACCTTTCTCCAGCACCTAACCGTTTTCTCCACTTGTTCCTCCTTCACGCAATTTTCTAAACAATCACCCTTTGACATCTGCAGCCTTTGCCTAAGCAAGCTCTTCCCTGAAATCCCCAACATAGTTCTCAGTTCCATCCTACGCC